GGTCGACCATCGTTGGAAGAAACTGATTTTGCCAAATAGTGTCCCAATTTACCCAATTTATTTAGTCCACATTTTTTTGGCAAGCGGTTACACATCCGTGAATGGATGCAAGCCAGCTAGTCTGGTTCCCTGAGCTCAGGGAACATCACAAGATCTGGCCCAAGACCTTGTAAAGCATTTGAAGAGTACATTTGCAAAAGCAGATAAGAGCCAATTATACAAAATTGACGAAAACCCACCAACTAAATATTTTCCCTGAACACCTACAATCATTTTTCAAATTCAATGAACTAAACAGTGAAAGTATATAAAATGCGTTTAAAGTCCAGTTCCGGAATATTATTTTGTGCGTTCCAGAACCACAAGGCGGGCTGTGACACGTTGTACTGTATGTTTGTACACTACAAGCGGCGGTTGTCCGTACTGTATTCGCAAAGTATCGGGAACATAAATTTTGCATAAAATTGTGACTCGAGTCGACTCGAGTCATTACAACTCTGACCAATGGCTATTCTTAACATAGACATTGACAAAGTGGGAGACTAAACACGATGGAGCTTGGTAGCTCAGTTGGTAGAGCACTGGAACGGCAATCTGGAGGTCCCAGGTTCTATTCCCTCTTCCTTTCAATTTGTGGATGGTTGTATTTCCCTGTACAGGCCACAGATTATTGCATTGACTGGTCGCCCTGGATGCAAGCCTGCCCTGGTTCACTTCGTCTCCCATATCACCAAGAGCACAAGCCTTCTCATATGCGGAGCAGTGCTGATCATAAGTAATCTGCTACAGTTGCAATTTGTCTGTGATTTGACAAAAGCTTGTCCCTGTGAAGCATTATGATCAGAACTTAGTTGTGCGGATCATAAGTTATCTGCTATAATGGTACAAGGTCCGAAAATGCATCTTTAGACGCATCTTTGGAAACAACCTTCTTTAATTGTTTTCTTCAAAATGACAGCATGCAAGAAAGAATAATTTCACAGGCAGTTCAGAGCCATTACTATCTTTAAAACAAAGTATGCTTTTCAAAATGAATGTTATCAATTACTTTTTGGATAGCTGCAAATGATCTACTCTACCGTGAACAACCAGTGCAAAAATTTCACATTTTTTTTCAGTTTAAATTTCTTCGTCAGGGGTAGCATAGACCAATTTGGGGACAACCTCTTTCAGCATGTTCAGATGGTTCTGCGGAGGCACTAGGCTCACGTGAATCGCGCACTCCGGACTCCTTTGACCAAAACATTTGCGAGCCTCGTCTTTAAGAACGCGTGCACGTAGTCGTGGCGCAACCTCAAAAATGGCTTCTAATTTTGCTCGCCGGATTACGCTATATGAGAATGTAATTTCCAGTAACCCTGGTTAACCCTTCTGTTAGTGAGCATTAGCCATGTCTGAATGACATGGCTACGACTAACACTAGCCCACATGGGAAGTGGCTTCATCTGCTTCCATAGGTGCAACTAATGTATTAGCCGTAGCCACTTCATTCTGACGTGGCTTTATGCTTTCCATTTTCCCTAATTTGTGCTTGAATTTCCCCGAACGTGGCTGTGCAACACAGTCCTGATTCTATCAGAATCAACCAGATAATGGGTGATGTTAGATTTTGTAAGATGGAACTCACGTTGATCTCCTTCAGATCTTTGTTCTTGAGATGATCCAGGGGACCCACAAAGTTCTGTCTGACGTTCAGATCGAAGGCGTCCTTGACTTCAGAAAGTTGCCTCAGTGATTCGCCCATCTCGACCATCGCCGTACCTGTATCCAAACAAAAACAAAAACATAACAAAATCCATCTTTTTATAATACCTATAACAGGAAAGATTTTATTGTCCTGTTGTTTCCACCAACATGAGGCCAGTTGGGATAGGTAAAAAAGTAAGTGTTCTTTCAGCAAAACGAAAACAATTCTCAAAGGGATGCATGTGAATTGTTTTTGTTTTGCTGAAATAACACGTACATTTCTTTGTGATCCATGGACAGAACTTTAAAATGGTGTGCGTTCAAAATTCCGTAACTTTAAGCAAATGAGTGACGTGAATGATTCTTGTGTTAATACAAAGCCCATTGATTGGGCTGTCATATCCTAGATTTGGAAAGTGCTACAGGCAAAACTTTATTCAAAAATTGGTCCAGCCATTTGGGTTTCGTCTTTTATGACTCACCTGTATATTGCAAATGTATGCATTTATAAATAAAAAAAATAAAAAAATACAAAGTGGGTACAAAGGGTCAGAAAACAAATAGAAGACCTATCTCTATTTGGTTTGTTTGAAGTGAATACTTAGACCCGATTCAAACCGGTGTTCTATAGTCACCCCAAACGTAATTATTCCAAAGGTTACAATTAAAGGTAATATACGACATTTGCAAACATCAACAAACAAAACTACCAAATTATCATGAAATACTTTACTTGACTGTAGATGAATGACAGTCTCAGACATCCTGTGAAATCATGGCACCTGGTGTCCCAGCTAACACATCACGTTGCCACAACGTTGTGCAAAGTTGTGAAAATGTTGTCATTTGGTAACGTGTCACGATGACATTCAAGCAACGTTGACACAACGTTTGACTGTATAATTGGTGGTTGTAAAAATGTTGTATATCGGTAATTTGTACAACGTTGTACGAAAGTCATCATATGACATTGTATTGACGTTGTATGGTGGTTGTTTCACAATCGTTGTAATAAAGTAATAAATATGACGTTGTGGTTACGTTGAATGTAGGTGTTTTCATGACGTTGTTTTTAAGTTGTCAATGTTACGTTGTCAGAACGTTGTAATTTAGAATGTTTACAACGTTGCTGTGAGGTTATACTCATGACGTTGAGTTAACGTTCCATCTACGTTATTTTATAACGTTTTTTTTTCAGTTGTGAAAATCACATTGACACGACGTTGTAGTTTGGTATTTCAAAACGTTGCTGTGATGTAATAATCATGACGTTGTAGTAACATTGTATGTGGGTACTTTTACAACGTTGTTGGTATGTTGTCAATCTCACGTTGTCATGACGTTGTAGATAAAAATTTACACCACGTTGCTGTGTTCATGACGTTATGATGACGTTGCATAAAAGTCTCATCATAATGTCGTTGTTAAGTTGTAAATATCATGTTGTCGTGACATTGCAGTTTGGTATTTTCACAGCGTTGCTGCTATGTTGTGAACCTCACGTTGCTGTATTGTTTTACAAAGGTGTTTTGACACTGAATTTAAGTTGTAATTATGCTGTGGGTTATTATCCATATGCTGTTGTGGTATTGACAAAAACATTGTGATTACGATTTACTGAATGTGAAGTGAACATAATGTTTTAATTAATGATGTTTTATTTGATAATAATTAACATTTGGGTGCCGCCTTGCATTAATAATGTAACTCATGAAATTTCGAACATCATCATGTTTGTTTTGTCGTAGTAGGAATAAAATGTTTCCATATATTTTTCTAATGGTCTAAGATGGATGAGATCGTGGTCAAAGCGCGACTGTTTCCCGCTCATATTCATTGTTGTATACTCAATGTATATATTTATTGCACACACCAACGTAACTTGAAATATGATTCCTGTTCTCAAAGAAAATATTACCATGGCGCATGCGCGTCAGCAGAAATTCCACGTCCAGACCGCGTGATAGCTTATTTGAATCGCTCTGCTCAGTCGAGTCAGCGATCTAGCAGCAGCATCAGCTCACTAGTATAACGGTCGCCGACTCGCCGTCCAGTTGATATGAATTAGCCATGGTCACCAAGCAAGTTATTTTCACTACAGCATTTCTTAGAAGGTAGGAATGACATTTTCTGTATCTTGGCTTCATTCTTGTGTCGAACACATTGTCTAAAAATCTGAAGAAATTGGATCAAATTAAAGTAAAACAACTTTTCGAACAAAGTCGCTGTAAAAAAATGAAGATTTTCCTATGCCTATCATCTTGTTTTTTTTTTTATAAATGTTGAAAATGTTCTTCAGACTCGATCAGAATAAATGTAGATTAATTAAGAGTGAAAATATGTGCCTCAATTGAGATTGGAGGCCCGTCAATGCGAACAGTTTTGGAGGATCATACACTGAAAGAAACGTTCAAGTCATCTGGTTTTCAATTTAATAATAAAATCTTGGTAATATTCCAAGGAAATAATATACATGTGGATCAGATTTACTCGAATTCATGTGAGACATGTTAGACCTTTTTAACAACACTTTAGGTTGGAAAGTTATTTGTTCGATAGTTATAATTTTAGATACAACAGATATTGTTTTAGCAAATGGCAACATGTTGGAAGTGTATACATTATATCGAGAAGACTTTTGATTTGTGTACTATAGAATAGGCTTATGTTTGTATTTTTTTTCAAATTGATGAATTAATCAAACTGTAACAATATTGTATTGAGATACCCATGATACCCGAGCCAACAACCGTGAAATAGTTACCTGGGGTATCTCTTAATTTATAGATCTGATTTGATTTTCTCTACTAAAACTAGCGCAAATTTAGGCATAAACAGTCCGTTATAAAATTCCCGCTCAAAGACACAGTGTACGGTTGTAATACTAATAGCAACGCGCATTAGCATTTCAGTCCCAAGGGTCAGACCTAAAGTTCACGTACCAGGACTGTACACGTATAAACGGTCATCTGGCTTTCGTTGGCTTGTACATAACAAGTGTATACAGTTTCAATCCGGGCTTTCGGGCCGTATAGCTCCCAGGGTTTGGCGTGATTTATGGGAGTTTGACCAAAGTGTGTGGAGTAGGGTTCAGGGCCAGGTCAGCACTGTTACAAGATCAATGAAAAATACGCGAACTATAAAAGCCTTTTCTAAAAAGGGTCATTTGTAGACTAGTTTTATTATTTATGTGGGTTGAAGAGCACGGGGATCATATTTACACTGTGTTCAAACTTGATTAGTTTTATATATTTCTCAACCTTAAAAAACATCGTTACTTTCTCCAGGTAGGCAGTACACATGTATGATATACGTGAGTGCACTGGCAGCAGGATGTGGCATGTTTAAACTTTTAACTTCAGCAGTCTTCGAGGGAGGAAGTTTCTAATTATTTTGAAAACCACCCCATACATCTCTTCAAGGTTGTTGCTGTAAGTAATTCAACATACACTGACCTTCTATATACATGTTCTGTAAGATGGTGAAATTAACTTTTAAAATGTGTTGAAAATACACCTTGGTCGAAATTTGTTAAGTGATTACCTGACGTTCACCAGACACCTATATTAATTCAATTTATGTATTCATGAAATTTATCTATACTATAAAATTCAAGACCGTGAACCCATTGCATGCATATCCAAATCCTTCCAACTCAAAATGTTCATACTAGCACGTCCGCCTTAACAAAGTCATTCTTGTCGAGTCATGCGCCAGAAAAGATGCGTGCCCGATACTCTCTAAAAATAACCAAAAAAAACCCCACACATTTTGCGTGAACCTCCCCGGCGAGAGCTGATTAATTTTTTAGCAGGTATTAACTTGAATGTTGTGAAAAAATGCAATGAAGTTTATAATTTTTATCGTTAGATGTCTTTCAAAAATAATAACTTGTATTTCGCAGGAAAATAGCAGTTGAAAAAAAGTAAATAAACTTTCGGAGTGAAACTCGAAAGTAGCGTAGGCAACGGATCTTTAATCAAAATAATTATGAATCAAATTAGGTTTTGCCCTTCACCGACGTATAAACACTGTGTACCCAGTGTGTATTCGCATAAAATAATTATGCGCATATCAAAACTGCAACTGGACGGTTCTTCTTAACATTTAATGAAATTGTTTCGTGTGGAATTTAAATAACTTTAAAAAAGCTTGAGCTCTTTGGTAATCAAATATTTTCTGTATTATATTCAGGTACCTGCATGACATGACTTCGCATGAACTTTTAGAAATGGCAGCCGATTGTGCTTGGTTATCCAGAAGGGCCAAGATTCAAGGTAAGTGTATTAAGAAACTAACCATCGCAGTCACTAAATTGATTGGTCCAAAGATATCAGCGACAAACACCTTAAATACACTTCTGAAACGAGCACCATAGACCTAATGCAATGCCGACTACCAAGACCATAAACTTGCGGAAGAACCAACATTTTGTTCGTTACGTACATACATTTGAACATGAAGTTGTTTAGATTACATAAAAATGCGTAAAGCAGGCTTGCGCTTTAACTCTCAACAAGGGTTTTTGGTTACCCTTTAAATTTGAGAAATATCCTTGACTTCAGGGTCAACTTGAAACAAGAGGCTCATTTAATTTATCCCTGTCTCTCGTGGGTTAAAGATTGTACATGTAGAAACACAGGCACAGCTCTGCTTGAAGTACATGTATTGAGAAGACAGACATTATCTGGATATACATGTAGTTTTAAATTTCACATCTGGTGAGCCAGCGTGACACGCAGTGAGTGTTTTAGGCCTGAGGCAGCAAACATTAAATGGTTCATAATGTTTAAATAATTGATACATTGTTTTTTGTTTTCCTTATTTTCTTGTCAGATTCGTGTCTTTGGAGAAGTGCCATATTGACAATTAACTTGCTGAACAAGGAATCCACTTACTTCTACATCTGGATAATCTTCTGTTAAAGGTTTCATTAAATGAATGTTACTCTAAAACATAGATTGGGCAATTAGCCAATCTTAATGGAGGTATTCAAAGAAAATCATGTTGAAATGTCAATATTTTAAAATGCAGGTTTTTTGCGAGTTCCCTGCATACAAATATATCTTCACGAACAAATGCTATTCAAGTATCCCTTTCAAGTGTAATTTTTTTTCATAGACTCTGTAGCTACAAAAAAACCAAAACAATTCCTTTGAGTTTTCTTTTGAAGATGTTCCATGGGAGAGAAAGAAAAAGAAGGATCTAGATAGAGGACAGGTTTAAAAAGCATGTGATTCAGTAGATTAAAAGTTGTCTGATCTATTTTATTTGTTCGATGTGAAAGTCGCCTTCCTATACTATATTTCTCATCACGGAGAGTGGAAAATGCTTATTTTCAAATACTATTTGAAACCATTCTTTTGCCTGAATGTACGTTACGTATAGCACTGTGTATTTTTCATGAATTGATCCAATACATGAATAGGTATTCTCTAGTGTGGGTAACATTGTGAAATGGTACCCCTCTGAAGGTGATGTATAAAACCGGTTAGTGGTTAGTGGGTCGACGATAATAGCCCTTGCATTCCGGCTCTGGCTATATTATTGGCGACCAGACCCTTTATCTTTTAATTGCTCAGTAACAACGTTATTGTCTTGTTAAAAGGTTGGTTCATACTCTGTGAAGTTACGGCAATTTACTTTGTGAAGTTACGGCACGCATTAACGCCAGCGCTAAAAATTCTGGGGAAAAAAGAGTGAACCACATTTAACTCTGGGCAATTTTGAGTCAAATGGTTTCGATGTCAACATTTCAAAATTTGCTTTCACTTGAAGTATGAACCGATCGTTAGAGCTCAGCCCATTCACTAAGGCGTGCATTCCGTAATGTGGATTCAAGTAAAAGACTTTAATTGTATACCATTCACGAAATGGACACTGTAGTAATATGTGCATATTGATGTGTCCAAATAATTGCAGTGAGTATTAATTACACTTACCGTTTTAGTGATTGCATTTTAGTAATGTTTTTACATGCTGTTGTTTCTGAACACTCTTTGTAATAAAATTAGAGAAACATGAATTACATTTATGTTTAATTGTTTTGTTATCGTTTTCAGAAACATTTCTCCATAAATGCCCAGTAGGCTGCAGTAAGTTGGCCACCATGTTACAGCAACATGTCCATTAAGTTGTAGTAACGTGTCCACAAAGTTGCAGCAACGTGCCTTTAAAGTTGCAGAAACGTCCCATTTAGCTGCAATAACGTGCCCGCAAAGTTGCAGCAATGTCCTCATAAAGTTGCAGTAACGTCCCCATAAAGTTGCAGTAACGTGCCCATAAAGTTGCTTAAACGTGTCCAATACGTTGCTTTAACGTGTACAATTAGTTGCATCAACGTGTCCAGTAAGTTGCAGTGACGTCCCAAATTAGGTTGCAGTAACGTGCTAATCAAGTGGTAATCATGTCGCCAAAAGGTTGTAGGAACGTGCGTAGAAGTTGCTGTTATGTGTCAATTTGGTCGCAAATAACGTGGCGTCAAGGTGGTAATCATGTGCAATCACGACCAAAAAAAGTTGTGATGTATGTTGCGTTTACGTTGTGGAAACGTCATTGTAACGTTGCGTGATAACGTTGTAGCAACGCGCACGCGAGTCAACATTTTTACGTTGCCGCAACGTCATTTTCCTCACGTGGCAACAACGAAAACCTGACCTTTTTGCAACGTTGTCACAACGTAAATGTGTTAGCTGGGAAAGCGGTCATTACGCCTAACCACTGATTTCCTGCTAAAACTTGTTGTTTTTGCAAACAATCTTGACTCTGTATTGTAGAGAAGATGCAAGTGTACAGTACACTATTTGTCTGGGGTTGATTGTGTGGGTGTGTGTGGAGGGGGGGGGGGGGGGGCTGAACCTCATTTGGCGCTATGGGGGCGCTCCCATCCCGGCACCCCCTTCTTCTCCATAGATTTCATGAATCAATCGAGGGAAGGCCGGATGAGAAGCATCGATTTAAAACCAGTCGTCTTCTCTCCACTTCTGATTTAGTTATTCCAACTACTGATTTTGCTGCCGTGACCCCACCCCTCCCCGTCAGTCAGCCTTGTTAAATAAAAAAGTCATAACTCAACATTAGACCTTAGACAATAACTAGACAATAGCTGGACAATTTAGTGTGCTAGTTCTATGTTGGTTTGTTCTAAAATGAAGCCCATTTTAACAATGTGTGTAAGCTTAATTGCCCATTACACATAATTGATTTTCATGTACTGAATCAATTTGATGGTGACTACATACAAAACAAAAAACACACGGAATATATACTTCTACTACCCCGAGACTCAAACCATAGAGTTATTCGTACAGCGCAAACTGATCAGCGAGTAAATCACGGCCGGTGTACGTCATTATTCTATCCACCAATCACAGTTACTCGGTGACTAGCGGTGACCACAAGTGCCGGGATGTAGTTTTGCGTGTCAATCACAAATCACGTGTTTTGGATTTGTCACCGACATCGATACAGTATCAACCAATAGGATGTGGCTATTTCAGTGTCGGTGACACAAGTTTGTATGGGTGACTTCAATAGCCTCAACGATATTAACATGACTTTCGTCTCAGTAATATGAAGCGAGTCGGTGATGTGTGATTGACAGTCCCTCAGTCACTGCTCAGGAAATCGATTCCAAGATTTAAGGCAGATGCGGGCCGCTTCTCCCCTCACAGCTCGTAACCTAGCTCCTTCGGACGACAACCAGAGAGAGAACTGATTGCAAGAACAAGATTGTGCTCGGTGAGTGTTTGAAACAATTATGTTTTTTTCCCCCAAAACAATGTGCCTTCTTGCACGTAGTTTGAATCAACGTGGGATTGAAATTCCGAAGATTATTGCTGACACTGTTTCCAAACAGCGAGCGTGGTAGTAGGCTTGAGCCTCGCTTCTTTGTAAGCTTGTGATGTGTAGTTGCTTGAGGAGTGAGGACTGAACAACAAAATGTTTATGAACAAATTAAATTGGAATTGAAACTGATCTTGCGTGACTATGATACCGATGCTGTTGCACGATAACTAACAGCCAAACCAGCGCGGTCCGAACCGCCACAATTAGTGATCGTCATTTACAAACAAACATTGTTGGATAAAAGTGTGACTAGTCGGAATAAACACTCTATAGCCTCACAGTTATAGGACGCAAATACTAACAGACCGGATGATCATGCACTTCGTACTAAGTGCATGATCATCCGGTCTGTTAGTATTTGCGTACGGTTTTATTCAAGTTCAAATTGTTTTATCTAGCTGGGTTCATTTGTAGAAATCATGCATAGAACTGATGTTTGTACAAGTTACTCAGATCAGTCCTTCTGCTCTGCTGTTCACCTTAAAATTTGAAGCAAAAGCTCTCAGACGAATTCAGTCATGTTTGCATGTAGGGTTCCACTCAGCATGCAACTGAGATTCTGTTGAATATTTCGGGACACAGCAATATTGGTATTTGGCTTAATATTTCGAATGTTTTTGGTTGTGTTATTGGTACAGATTTTCACAAATCCCAAATGTTTAGAGTCACGTTTCAGTTGGCAAACAGATGGTGGCTAACTAGAGCCAAACCGGTGCGCTGATTTCCCATCCGGAAAATGTAACGACTGTAACTTGACTGCAGTAGTCCAGCTGTAATGTTTGCGCCTCTACTTCCTTGGCATGAGATCGATTTCCCTCACTGATGCAGAAACTGTATGCTCCTTGTGATTCCTATGACTACAAGTTCAAGCAACCTTGAACCAGTTAGAGGAACATAGGATCAATTGCCCACAATCTTAGGTATGATGCAGTACAACTAACTTTTTGAACTTTAAGCTTAGTTGATGCTATACATTTGACAAAAACAGATAAATTAAAGGGATTTTTTTTTTAGTTCTTGTCACTTGATTTCGTTGCTACAATCCCGGCCAAAATGGTTGGGACACTTCCTGAGCCTGCCACGGCCACCCACTCCCCCGCTCCCCCGGTCAATGTTGTTCTCTCCAGCTGATGGAGCACACACCGCGCAATGAGCGACAACACTGAACGGGGGCCGGGGAGTTGGGGGCCCAGCGAGATTTGGCCAGGATTGTAGCACACGTTCATAGTCTGCCCACTGGCACTATGTCGAAAACATCTTCATTTTTTTCAGATGATATATCAGGCTGAACAATTCACAGTGTTTATGTGATACCGGTCTCTTCACTTTGAGCATCGCAAAGTTTCTGTCATTAAATCGGTATAGGCACTTTTTCCCGGCAATTATATAATTTATTTGTGTGATAATTACTTCGTTTGATTCGAAAATAGCAAAACGCATTCTGTTTGAAATAAATAATCAAACCAAATTAAATGTCACTCGACAGAGGCTTTTTTTGGGAGGGGGGCATTTAGAACTTTTGAAATTCAGTTATGCCTCCCCACCATCCCCCAAGTTATCTCCTGGAGGATTTTTAATGACTCATATTTTTGATGGTATTTGTTTTCAGCCAGCAATCCGCTCGTGTGTTGAAGAGTGCTTCCGCGATAGAATTCAAGAACTGTGCTTAGGTGAGTGTCTTGACATTTTCTTCATTCAAGCATCGTAATAAAGCGGTGATATGGTGGGAAACTGCATGTTTTTTCCTATTCATTTACATGTAAAAAGTTTTTGGTCACAGTTATAAACAGAAAACGTCATTCGAACAAAAGAAGTGTGCAAATCTACACTCACTGTACAACCGTGCCTCACATTTTGGCCAATCGCTGCTATGAACACAGTCCAGGCGCGGTTCTACGGGGGGGGGGGGGGGGGGGCTTTAGCGCCCGCCCCCCCCCCAATTTTGTCTAGCCCCCAACAAAATTCCATAAAAAATTCAATAAATGCACTAGCAAAATGTAAGAATTTGACGTACATGGGAACGGTC